TGTAGTATTGGGGAATGATTGTGTTACTATATGCATAAGCCATTACTTTGGCATTTTGTTGATTGACCATAATATTTTGGTCTATGAATAAAATTGCATTTTTAGACCGTTCAGAACCAAGAAGTGTACCAACAGAATGTATTAGAAAATATAAATTTGGATTGATAGACCCAGAATAATAAGTTTTGGACACTATACCCAAATCTGATTGATATGGGAAATAAGAATCTATAACAGCTAACTCTTGTCCCTCATGGATAATTTGGATCAATTCGTCGGCCAATTTTTCTGTGTACATCCAGTCAGCAAGGAATGCTTCATCCCGGATACTAAGCAATTTTGTTATATAACCGATAGAGAGCATTCCCACACAGTCCTTATACCTAGACCTCAGTGTTCCAATTCTATATGATGCATACTTACTCGTCGATTTCAACGCAGAATAACGTTTTCTACAGCTTTCGTGAAAATTGACACTTTATTTCCCTTCCCATAGTATGTGTTTTTCATCTTCTCTACTTTTACTTTTATCTATAAAAGTTTTTAAACCTCGACAATGCACTTGTACGATTGCATCTATATTATTTTCTAGGGGTTCGTCAAAGATAGTGCACGTGGTTCCATCTTCCATTGTTAAAGAAAACTAAAAATTATTATACATTCTGTAATAAATCTACGATAAATAAGATTTGACGAAATATTTATAGCAAAGAATCTTATGGCATATGAAATCTAACATATAACTGACATAACTAATATAAAGGTAGTTTGCTCTTATTGAAATAATGAATAACTCTGAGTATTGATCAGAAATGTTTATTCTTTTATAAAACATAGTTAAATTAATTGTTATTCTCTGAGGATGGTAGACTAACTTGATTATAGCGAACTACTGATTGAACATTTTCGGATCGGACAGTAGTTACATTGTTTCCCTCTCTTTGGGTGGACGATTCTGCCGGGGTTTCGATAAATCTTTCATAGAATGCAAGATAATTTGGACATAATCTAAGTACGCACTCTTTAGAAGCACATACACAATTTTTACAAACACAATGGAAGCTTAAATAAAATACAAAGTATTGCAATTGTGGCAATAGTATACATAGTATTGTGACGTCTGGGTCACTCTCTCAGGTACGTCTGAGGCGGACGTTTTCTCAGGTGCTCTATTTGGTTTGCGTGCGTACGCTTAAACCGGGACGAGCAATTGGAGTATTAGAGCTTTTCTATTTCGCGTTTCGCGTTGAAAGAGAGAAAAATAAAATTGGACTACAAGTCTCCCATCAAACACCAGGATCCAATGGAATCGGGACTTGCATATGAATATCCCAGACCTTGCTGGAATTGTCACATAAAAGAATTTAATTTTTCTTTAACGGCGCGACTGTCTTATAGAAAAGTATCCCAATCCTTGTTGAAATACTCTTCGAAGACTTGTTTTTTCGAATTCCGGTCTAACTATTTTAATAGAAAGGAAGAGGAAAGATAGCAATAAAAAATTTTGTTTAAACTTACTTTTGTTTTATTTAATGGAGTTGACTGGTACTTGGAGAGTCTGGACCTGACACTTGGTCGAACTTCGTACAATGTAGTAAAACTTATGAAGCTTGCGAGGAGCGAGAGAGTGGGCGATTTTCGCTTGCGCACGCCCTTTTAAACCCTGGGGGTGGTTGGGAAGAAAATCCCTCTTTCAGTCCCTTAAAATTTGGGAAGAGTGGAAATGCCAGTAAATTCTAATTGGCTGACTGAGATTTTCCCTCCTTTTCTCTTTCGGATTTCGGGCCCTAATTGGTTCAGGGGCGTGGTGAGAATTGGGGGCGCGCGTTCAAGAGTTTGGGCCCTATCTCGTTAGATGGCTCTCCAAGCACCATTTTCATTACAGATTTTCTTATAATTATTAATTTATTTGTTACGTAAAATTGTTACAATCAATTCTTAATAATAACGCAAGTTTCTTAATATTTAACATATTACGAGATTTCGATAAATAAAAATGTACGTAACATCACGAAACTATATAAAAATTGTATATGTACTCTGTGAATGTTGAGTCAATAGCAATAGGCTCATTTTTAATGCTGTCAAATATGTAATATTGTGTCCATCCTGACATGGGTATTGGTGTAAATTTATACACAGTATAATCAGCACCAGTTGGTATCGGTGTATGAATTACATATATGAGTCGAGTACCTGAAATAATAACATTAATCTTACTTAGTTTCATGTAGAATATGTATTATATATGTAGAATAATTTTCTCTTAACGGAAATGGTAATTGTGGGTAAAACAAATTTTTATAAATAGTATTCAGAGCGGACATAAAATTTCTTGGGGATATTAATCTTGAAGACACAATCCCCAATTTTTCATCATTGATTAAGTCATAAACTAAATCAATGTTTTCTGTTAAGTCCTCCATGTGTATATTTAGATCATATATACATTCCAGCATATTGTTATTAAAGGCCACTCTGAAAGTACTTTGAAAAAAAAAGTTGCATTGTAGCATTCAGTGTGGTACGCATTGGTATGTAATTTATATAGTCTATAGGGCCAAATTTTAATAAGGCCTTATTTGCCATTGCTTCGGTCCAATTATAGGGTAATAGAAAGTGAAGCCTATTTAAGCGATGGTGCTTAGGGCCAAGGTTTTTCGTTTGGAGGACCAGTGCGTCTTTCGAGTGAGTACAAACGCGTACAAATCGCTAAAAATTTTGATAGTGCAAACAACAAAAAATTTTTACTATTCCTCGCATGCCCCAAACAAACACACTTACTCTCGGAACAAACGTATCATAACGCTATATTATTGAAGGTTATGATTAGGGATTGTGTATGATGTTACAATTAGGGATTGTGTCTCCAAGATTAATATCCCCAAGAAATTTTATGTCCGCTCTGAATACTATTTATAAAAATTTGTTTTACCCACAATTACCATGTCCGTTAAGAGAAAATTATTACATAGTCTACATGAAACTAAGTAAGATTAATGTTATTATTTCAGGTACTCGACTCATATATGTAATTCATACACCGATACCAACTGGTGCTGATTATACTGTGTATAAATTTACACCAATACCCATGTCAGGATGGACACAATATTACATATTTGACAGCATTAAAAATGAGCCTATTGCTATTGACTCAACATTCACAGAGTACATATACAATTTTTATATAGTTTCGTGATGTTACGTACATTTTTATTTATCGAAATCTGTATTATTTCATCTTAAATTTTAGTATGTAAAGCGGGTAGAAGGACAATAACTATATAATCGGACTTCACGGACTGTCGTTATTGCACATAACTCCATTCATTCATATACTCTCTTTAAAACTTTTACTAATGTCTCTCTCTTGTATATCTTAAATCCCAACTCTCCCAGAGTTGTGATCAGGGAACACGAATTCGGACATCGGGTATTCCTCCGAATCCCGATGTACTGTTCGCGGGAACAAGTATTTAAGGACTTGGCAACCTGTGGGACTCTGAACTATATGTATTTTACGCCTATCACGACATATGGTTCGCATTTCCATTTGACCTGCAGTGTGCGATTTGTGTCCAAGGGTTCTGCTGCTGAGGCTGTCCGACTATACCATAGGGTATATGGAGCCAAGTTAAACGAACTAGAAAGGATTGTCCCCCTGTCCCTGCATAACAAGAACCAGTACATTCTTCATGCACAATGCAAAAGCATTGTCATGAAGAAGGATTTCGAAGTCCATAAAAACCTATGTAACATGCAAATAGGTAAGGATTGGATGAAACATTGGCTATGTGACAAATCCTTCGAAAAACGAAGCTTTTACCTCCATCTACGTCAGTGTTAATATGAGGACTGGGTGGAACCAGAGCAGTCCGAAGAATCTATGGGCCAAAACCTGGTATTCACCACCATGCTGGAAAACATTTTGGACGAGTTGGCAGCAATGCCCATAAACGCTACCAACCTTTAACTTTAATTTTCAATCCTTAAAACTCTTTTTTTTTTCTCCTATCTTTATAAAAAAAAAAAAAAAAAAAAAATATAATAAAAAAAAAAATATATATATATATATATAATATTTACCAAATGGGTGTATAATTTATACCCATGATACCGTCCCCGAAATAAATAGTAACATTAAATAACGCGTAATAAACTACGTTACGTTAACGATTTATAAGAACGCACGTTCGGAATATTAAGTTTTAGCTAATTAAGTATATATATCCTAAATCATATATATATATACACATATATGTGTTTAACTATATACCTATCTTAAATCGGTAAGCGATCCCTATGATAACGTTTTGAATACGTTAAAATAGGAGGATAATATTATACGATTAGTGTAGAAATCAGGAATAAGACTGATAGTACACATTCGCATTACTTAACAAAACAAAATGGACCCTACCAGCAGCACGCAGCGTAAATGTTCTTTGAAATCACTCTGAAGTTCAGAACATCAGAACATTATACCTCTTTAAGGCTCCACAAAGCAAGCGAAGCAAGATTCAACACCTATAGACATCCGTGTTCTATATGTGAATACCTGTTTTCACAACCCGAGATAGTAGAATCTTCAGATTTTATAACATATAGAATTTTGATAGAGTCTAATATATATGAGACAATAGAGTGTTCTACTGTATTGTCAGGAGAAATCTATTACTGCCTAGAAAGTTATTCCGAAATAAGAGATGGCAGATTTAGACTTACCCGATGGAACCACTGTTAAAGGGTGGATACCATCTTGCTCTTTAAGTCATACACTTGTTCATACCTTTGAGATGACAGGTATAACTCTGCAGGATTTCTGCAAACAGCATAGTGGAGCAGAATTTGACTTTGAGACTTTGAAGGTTAACTTCAAGAACTACGCCCTCGTACGCGCACATATGCGCATATGTGGCGAGGGCCTCAGAGAGGAACATACGTCTAGTTCGACACTTTGCCGATACGGGGCGCTTGAACCAGTCGCTCAGATCTGGCACGCACAAAAGCATTGCGGTTAGCAATCTCAACTAATGGTGGCAGTACAGTGGCCGTAGAATTAGCGTCAGTAAATAAGCCGGGTTTGATCTGTAAGTATGACTATTAATATTTTATTAATATAAAATAATAATAATATAAAAGCTATAAATATTATATTGAAAAGTTTAAATGCAATATCTACTTTGGTAAATTAGAACTTATGATTTATCTGGTTCTTTTGTTCCAGGCTAAATTGTGGCATCAAAAATAATTTATAAAGCTAACAAACCTTAAGTAGCTGTAGTCCATCTGTAACGCAGTAAATGTATTGAAATCAAGTTTTTCTTTCATACTCGTGTATAGTGTATGAAAAATATATTCTGTTAAACATATTCCAGACAAATAAACTACAAATAATTCATCATGGTAAGTTTAAATATACTTTTTAAATTTTTTATAAGATATTAAGTTACCATATTATGTGGAAGCACTTAGCTCTTGGCGCTTAAAAAAAGAGCTGTTGGCACGTTTTTATATACATAACCTTTATTTCGTTTTTTCTGACTAATTATTTTAATTATCTGTAAATGTAATTAATAGTTTGAAATTAAAAATTAATTTCAAATGTTTAAAATTGTATCTACTGTGAATAGTTGTAAAAATATATTATTTTTCTAATTAAATTGAACTATTAAATATGAATATGTTTGTCGCAATGTCTACTTATGAAAGAGATGTTTAATTATTTTGCTGAAAAATATTTAAAATATTCAATGTTTCCATTTCATTGTAAATCATTTGTCTCTTAACTTTTTTATAAATGATTTTTATTATGTCTGTTAAAAAAAATCTTTAGAATTTGTAATTTTCCTTTAATTGACCATGTTCTTGTATGTAAATAAAAGATCGTTAATGCTTGATTGTTGTATAGATAAAATGATATTGTCTATTTCTCATTGTATATTATTATTAATATATATATGTATGTTCATTAGTTTGTTAATAATTTTTTTTTAATTAGTGATTCCAATTCTACTTAAAATTACTTTTTATAATTAATAAGAAATCATTTTTGTATAAAGGTCTAAAGCTACCTAAATAATATACTTATTAACTAAAAATATTAGAATAAGTAGTGGAATTTTAAATCAGATTGATAGTAAAATACTTGAAAGTAATGTTTACTTTTGCAAATAATATTAATGTTCTTAAAATAATTTTTAAATCTATCTTGATAAATAACAATTTCTAATTATTGTATTTTAATAAATAAATTGATAAAAATATTAAGAAATTTTAAGATAACATAAGAATTATTTGTATTATATTTTTGTACTGATATTCTATTTTAATTTTTCAGACTATCGGAAAGAATAATAAGATGTTGCAGCATATCAATTACAGGGTACGCATAATTCTTCAAGACTCAAGAACATTTATTGGGACATTTAAAGCATTTGATAAACACATGAATTTAATACTTGGAGACTGTGAAGAATTCAGAAAACTAAAACCAAAAAACACAAAACAACCAGAAAGAGAAGAGAAAAGAGTCCTAGGGTTTGTGTTACTGAGAGGAGAGAATATAGTGTCATTAACAGTTGAAGGTCCACCACCTCCAGAAGAAGGATTGCCACGAGTTCCAATTCCTGGAGCTGCTACAGGACCTGGTATGGGTCGTGCTGTTGGTCGTGGAATGCCAGCCAATATTGCTGGAATCCCAGCTGGTTTGCAAGGACCAGTCAGAGGCATTGGTGGACCGTCTCAGCAGATTATGACACCTGGAATTAGAGGTCAAGTGTCAGCACCACCTCAAATGCACAGTGGACCATCACCAGGAATGCCAGGTCCTGGAGGACCCCCGCCGGGAATGCTAGGACCACCTCCTGGAATGATGGGTGAATACCAACAATTTCATTAATCACTTATGCAAATCATTTAAGTTTTTATATAATATATACTAGCATGCAATTTATCTCTATAAATGTTCGATATGCCTTCTACATTTTTTCTCTTAATTACAAATGGTATTGATAATTAAAGTATTTTAGAAATTGATAAAAAATTCTCCATTTTACTTCTCAATTAATACTCTTATTACTTTATTAATAACCTAACTAAAATTTTTTATCACTGTTTTCGATGTACGAAAGTCCTTGTACACATGAATTCTATTATGTGTGAAATTATTTAATAGTTTTGATTCTAATTTCTCTCTTTCCCTTTCTCTATATCTTTAAACTGTTTGGCTCTTTCACTCACCATCAATAGAGTATGATGCTTTTTCCTTGCCCCCCATTTGTACTTTTCTCTTTATAAACTTCCCAGAAGCATTGACTTACAGCATTCTAAAGCTGTCAATTTTTCACTTCTATAGTATAATCTTAACTTGTCTGAAGGACTCTAATCCTATTTTTTTTATCTATAGTTTAAGATGAGTTCTGAACTACTAAAGTTGCTTTGTTAATTTTGGTTTGGTATATACACTTTTTGAAAAAAGTCATTGGTGATTGCAAAAGATTGAACCCAGGCCTTTCACATAGAGATTCTGTTCTATGAGCTTTCTTAGTTCGTTAAATTATTTAATAATTTTGTAATATTTATTCAGTTTGATTTATTTTAATATAAACTTGATCCAACTGATTTCTCATAATATATCTTTTCATAATATTTGCAGGATTACCGCCAGGTATGCCTCCAATGGGACGCCCTGGACCACCAATGGCACCACCAAATATACGAGGACCCCCTCCTGGAATGATGCGTGGAGTTCCTCCTCGACCATACTAATTTATCCTTTGCTCATTATAAAATTAGAATTCAATTCAAATATTGAAAAGTTGAGTAAATATTTTAGAGTTAATAAATTCGTGATTGCTAAAACTGGAATATTGTATTCTTCTCATTCACGCAGTGTAAATGAGTTATAAAGATATAATCAGATAAGATTCAATAAATTTTTTCATCATATCTCTTATTATTTTTTCTATCGAAAAAATACACATATCTCTAGTTGGATATTTGTAATCTTTTAGGTACAAACTTGATTATTGAGTGGATTTGTTAGTGTTATTTACACTTGTATAAGCAATTGCAAGTCTGAGGTGAATCGAAAAATTATAATAAATTAATAAGTTACAATATCGTAACATATCATGAATAAGAAAGTTAATCTTTCAATTACCAGTATAAGTCATAGACTAACAAGCGTAAGTGTAAAATAAATACAGTCATTTATTTCCTAACAGCATGCGTAAAATGTTCGTTTTCCATACTGTCACTTTCATACTTGATTTGAACAAGTTTAAATTAGTATATTTCGATACCAGTGCGATCAAAAAGTAATTTCAGCCTCGTGTGGACGTTTGCACCCGAACTAAGCGATGTGGAATCACTTTCTCGCATGTATCTAACTTTATTATTCGATACATGTGTGGAATAAAATTTTAAACATACTTGATTTCTTGAGTGTACGTAAAGTCAAGTACCCACGCACGAATGGTCGAAATTAATACATTTCGATACTGCAGTGCAAAAAAGTAATCTTAGCATCGCGTTTACGCTCGAGCGAAGCGAGAGTGAAAAGGCTACACGAAGATAGAATCGCTTTCTCGTACATGTACCTAACTTTACTTTTCAATAACATGTTTGTGGGACGAAATTTCAAGCACTTTCGATTTCTTAAGCGTGCATAAAGTCGAGTTTCCGAGCATGGAATGATGAAAAAAATGAACATCTTTGCCTCTACACCCTTTCACTCTTTCAGTCGTCTCCGCATTTCGTAATTTGTTAGGAAAAATAGTATGCGATACTTGTGCGCTCGTAATAAATGTCTTCAGGACAATTAACGTAGCTCATCTACTGTAATCACCTACTTCACGCACGCGTATCGTAACGTACACTTTTTAAATTGCTATTAATTATATATATATATATATATATATATATAAACAATTGATTATGCTCAATATTGGGAATTTCATGGTTTAACCGCATAACATAAAGTCGAAATAAGTAAAAATGATAAGCGACAAATGTAAATAAACTGTATATCACAGAAAGCACTTTTATTCGTGTATTATTACAATGATTATACGTGGTGCTATGTGATGATAAAATAGACACGATGTGTTAGATATTAAATAATATAATCACTACAGTTTGTATACGTGCGGTAGAAGTATAGCTTATAAGATTTTGAAAATGTATAATAGCCACTCGACAACAAGCGGTTGTCATATGTAACAGACAGTTGCCAAAATTTATGATACGTCTGTAACGGTTGCCGAGTTGCGTTAATTTACGATGGCATCAGATGGTATATGCAGGACAATTCAAACTACTTGAAAAAAGGACTGACGAGAAAGTCAGTTACAACTGCTGATGAAGTTAGTTGTTCGCTGTACATTAAACGAGCAACATTGCTCTTGAAATAAACCAGTATTTTTCCATCCATATTCAAATATTTATTTAAACAATCGCATCATTATTCTTACTAAAACACGAATCTTGTCTATTACGAATTAGTTTTCGTGAGAACGTACTAATGTTTAGTATAGTGATTCATATCACAGGAATTAAAATACTGATAAATATTTGAAATGAAAATTTGAATTATTATTTTTATTTTTGTTATTATTGCTGTTTTTCTTTTTATTTCTTATATGAATACTGTCTTTAGCTTTCCCAAAATGATCTTATTCAATTGTTCATAACAATTGTTCATAACACTTTTACAGAAAGTATTAATTTTAAAAAGTCCTTGTTACGTCTTGTTTTTGTGTTATAATTTGTGTATCCGCGCAAATAGCGAATTGTTTAAGGAATATTACCTTCAATAATGTGGAAACAATAAAGTTAAAAAGAATATTATTAATAAAATAAAATAATAAACAAAAATGTAACTTTAGGTAATGAGATTTTAGCTCTCATTAACTATAGATATGTTGGATGAATTCCGTAAGTTGAATTTACTATTTTTGTTCGGTTGGTGTTGTATATCAATAATAACTTGGAGATTGGAACTTAATAACAGATTTATTCATAGAAAAATACGATATGGCTCTTAGTTTTATTTTAATAAAATAATCTTGCATAGCAACGAAGAAAATAAACAAAAGTATGTTCTAATGTTTTTCAAATGTTTACAACAATACATTAAATTCCTCCCCCTTAGATAAAATATCATCTTTAATTTATTATTACAAATCAAGAATGTCCCTCGGCTTAACAATTCTAGTAGAACGTCGCAAAATGGTTGGTGCTGGTATTATAACACAGGTCTTAGGTTCTACACATTCGTTTCGTACCATTTTACAAGATTTTTAACTACTTGAATTTTCTGTAGTTTTTTCTAATTGATTATCACTCTTAACCTTTTCCAAATTATTCTCATGCACACTCAAATTATCATTATGATTCAAATCACTCTCACCAACAATAGTTTTGTTACATTTTTCTGGTGTTCGAATACTATTACTATTACTATTATTCATCGACAAATTACAAGCTCTCTACATGACGTTTCCATACTCGTTGATCATCGGTAGCAACGTTGTAAGTAACAGGACCAAGTTGCTCACTTCAGCTTTTCTCCAATTACCTTTTGCATAATCTTTAGTTATCACAACATCTTCATCGAAGCTCACGTCTCTGTTACCTTTAAAAAATTTTCTCTGATCTTGTTGCTTATGCGAAACATGATTACTAACCTTTTTTTTAAGTAAGTCCCAACAAGTACGAAATTTTCTTCCCATCTGTAATTCAGCTGGACTCATACCTGTCGTACAGTGTGGAGACGAACGATAATAGAATAAATATTTAGCAAGAGCTTCTTTTTTCGTTGAAACTTCTGAAACCAAAAGTTTAAAATTAGCCTTGAAAGTTTTTATTGCATTTTCAGTTGCTCCGTTACTGGAAGGATGGTTAAGTGCAATTCTTTGATGAATCACTTCATTAGAACACACGAAATCTTCTTACTCTTTTGAACAAAAACTCGTACCATTATCAGTAACTAATGTGTGAGGAATACCCTAAGTAGCCAAATAATTTCTAAAAACATCAATTATAGATCTTGTGTTAACATTATTCATTTCACGAATATCAATCCACTTTGAATGACTATCTAAAATTACAAGGTACATTTTTCTAAATATTTGTCCACAAAAATCTGCATACAACCGAAAATTCGGACTCTCCAGCCAACTCTAAACATGAAGTGACGCTTTTGGTGGATTTGATGCATTTTTCAAACAAAATTCACAACGTTTACATTTATCTTTGATCTGAAAATCTAACGCTGGTCACCAAATATAAGAGCAAGCCAATATTTTTATGCGTACACTACCCATGTGTAAACTGTGAAGTTCATTCAGCATTTCTTTTCTAAGAGATGCTGCACACATACATGATGACCCCACATTACACAGCCATTTTCTAAGGTTAATTCCCGTTCTTTGCTTTTGAAAATTAACAAACTATCACGCACTTCTTTAGACCAACCTTGAAATAAATATTTTGTAACTAAATTCAAAATTAGATCTTTGTCAGTCTCAGTGCGAATAGTATCTAACGAAAACGTTTTTACTCCTTCATTTACGAGAACATTTCATTCCTTTATTTACAGTTTATTACTATTCTTCATGAGCGAACGTTTGTCGATTATAGTAGATATACAATACATCTTGTCAGTAACTGAGGTTGGAGAACTTTTTTATTTTTAACAATGTGGATGTGTTTGGCAAGAGTTTGTGCGGTCAAACTACTTATACTCTAGAAAGATTTTGCAATGAAATATTTGCAAAGATATTCTATCCTATTTACTATGAGGGGCATTTTAGATTCTGCTGATATTAGGTTGTTTGGTGTGCTATTTCTGTATCCTAGTGCTGCTCTGATTGCAGTTCGCAGAATAACTTTAAGCTCTCTATCAATTCACGCCGTTTTGGAAAGTACGCAAATGAACCAAATTAGGTCTATAATTGAATACAGTTATAGACCTAATATAGCTCTTACACAAATGCAGTAGAGTTATAGGGGGTGCTTCCCACCACGTACCTCTTAAAAATTTTATCACTGTTAGGGTGAGAAGGACGAAGAGAGTGGAAGTTTAAAAATATTAGATATAAGAACGCCGGATTTATTTAACTCACAATAAAACAATTTAAAGATAACAAATAAACCGGAAAGCTCGGAATCAAAGTAAGTTTACAATTAAAACTAACGATACAAATTACATTTATAAAGATTCGAAATCTCAATCGCAAACTAAATTAGTCAAAATTAAGAAAGGATTAACGTTATGTCGGCACGGAAATCGTATCTCTAAATTTTACAAAGTCCAATTAACGGAAGTACAAATAACGCACGCGAGCTCAACGATAAGCGACTTGCCTTTTTAAGAGCCGGGTCTAGAATGATTGAAACGCGTCGCCGCGCCAGCTGAGTCCGATGCAAAAAGTTTTTTCTTATCTCAATTCCCTTTCCTCGCACGAAGGTCGAAGGCGTGAACTTATTGACCTCCTGCCAATGGGGTTTCATTATTCACGTATCAACTGCTCCTTACTCCAGTTGATTGGCTCGAGTCGAAATCTGTGATGATTCCGACCGCGCGCTAAAGATTGTGCCGTGTTTTGGTGGCTCGTGTTGCGTTGTTTGATATTGCCGGCTTTCGGCTCAAACAACGGGGGTGACGGACGCTCAATGTCCGTCGTCGGCAATCAACTTTGATAGGTAACCTTTCAACCAGTGTGATTGCCACAATGCATTTGCCATCTTTTTTAGCGATGTATGTATTTTGGCGAGTTTGGAGGCAGTGATCATAGCAATGTTAAATAGTAAAATTTGATTCTAAATCGTAACTCAGCTTGATGCGGCGCACGCTTCTCTCACACGCTTATTTGAAAGTAAACAATATTCGTAATGTTGCTTAAGTTTCGAGTTTCGAAGAG